GATGGATATCCCTGTTTTACCCCACAAATTGGAGGACAAATTAACCTTTCCTTGTGGTAGCTGGGTTGGGGTTTATTATAGTGAAGAGCTATTATTGGCTCATAAATATGGTTATGAGTTTTTACCCATACTGGGGCTTGTTTATGACTGTTCTGAGGCTTTCTTAGAGCCCTACGTAAAACGATTCTCAGAGATGAAGGCCATGGGGGGTGTGTACCGCTTTATAGGTAAATTATTTATTAATTCCCTGTATGGGAAATTCGGGTTGAAAAGAGATGATCGGTTAACAATCCTTATCCCATCACACAAGGAGCAATACTATTCGAATAGATTTGATATTTATGACAGGGTTGACTTAGAAAATGGCTACATACTATTAACATTCTCCCCAAAACCAGTATTAGAGAAATACAAAAGTGGGGGGATTTTCAGTACATATAAAAAGGACTCCCAAACATACAGAACCTCTTTTAAATTTACTGAAAGCAATGTAGCAATAGCGGCCGCAATAACAGCCCTTGGGAGAATGAGGTTACATGAGGATATGATGTCCGTTCAGAAAAACGGAGGTAAAATAGCTTATTGTGATAGCCTTGGGTATTTTTTCAAAAAATTGGCCCTTTTTAAAAATGGTCATAACTCGAAAAATTAAAGTCAGAATCAGCTCAAACTTTCTACACAGTATAAGGACATCAATATGTATCAAAAAATGTAATAAAAATTTGGAGTGATTTTGGAGCCATTTTTTAGAAAAAATCATGAGCTATAGCCTTGGGTATTTTTCAAAAATTGGCCATTTTAAAAAATGGTCATAACTTGAAAAATTGAAGTCCAAATCAGTTGAAACTTTCTACACAACATAAAGACATCAATATGCATCAGAAAATATAATAGAAATTTGGAATAATTTCAGAGCCATTTGGTCATATTAGAAAATCCTCGTGATATAAAATTTTGAAGTTGGAATCAACTCAAACTTTTTATATGGCATGCATACATCAATGTGTATTGGAAATTGTAATAGCTTACTTATATACTTACATTTTCAATTCTACACTATTGTTAGATTTACCTGTATAATAACATTATATTTATTACAAGTTAATAAATTCTTACTTTTTTGTCTTTTGATTACCAGTATTATTACTATCAGTATAATAATAATGATTATAGTTAATAATACTGTTCCAACAGCTCCTGATACAACAGAAACAACACTAGAGCCACTAGTACTTGTACTGGGCCTTGGGATCATAGCTGATGATGTCACTACTGATACACCTCCAGTACCACTAATAGTTAATGTACCAGTAGTAGTGGGTACTGATACTATTAATGAATATATTAATTATTATGTACTTTTATATTATTACTTACTTGACATAGATGTTATAAGCAATGATGATGCACCAGTGCTTATATCTTTAATTAATGTAACTAATAGTATAATCATAATGAATAAATAATAAATGAATACAGTCATAATGCATTAATACCTAATGATGATGATGGTACATAACTACTGGTCATTGTAGGAGCAATAGCTACATTAACTATATACATTAACAATTCAATGACAATTGCTGTTATAATATATTGTACCATTAACAGTAGCTGATGGTCCATATCCAATAACATTAACAGGTATGATAGTAACGGTGTAGCTTGTATCAGTAAGAGGTAGTCCAGTAATAGTAATATTAGTATTAGTTGTATTGCTGTTGAATATGATATTGTTTGATGTACTGTATACATTAATAATGTAATACTGAATAGGAGGGACTGGTGTAGTAGAATCCTATTTTAATAAGTAATAATAAATATTAGTAATATCTTAACATACTTCATTGATATTCCACCATATTGTAATACTATCATTTGATATCTGATCCCAACTAATATTAACAACTTGAGCTGGTACTATAAGAAATACAATGAGTGTGTGTGTGTATAGTACTTACCATTCCATATATACTGTATTAATGGTGAAGGAGGTCCTTCTCTTCCAATAGTATCAATAGGAATAATAATAAATGAATAATTAGTACCAATAATAAGAGAACTAATATAGTACTCATTAGAAGGAGCAATGAAAGACTCATAAAGCATGTTGTTAGCACTAATATTAATAACATATCCAGTTAGACAGTGTTCCTCAGTATCATTCTGATATGTCCAACTGATCAACATTGTGCTTTTATTAATTGCATTCACTGATACATTACTAACTGGACCTGGTGCATCTATTAAGAAGTTAATGTACCTAAATAAACATAAATGAAATAAAATCATTACTTGCAACGTCAATTGTAAATTGTTTGGCATTGGTTCCATCTGCTAGACAGACAATATTAGCTCCATCTAGTGTAACTGAAACATTATTATCAATAGCTGTGCTTATCAATGCTGTACTGTTTGATTCGTTGATATTTACAAAGAAGCTACCAAGTGTCCCATTTGATGGGCCACTTGTCAGTAGCAATTTCTCTGTACTACCTCCTTGCCAAGTAACAGCTCCTCCAGTTCCAGACACTACACAAGTAAGTACTAATCTGTCACCAGGACATATGATGGAATAAGCTGGTGCTGTTTGAGTGAATTGAACCACTGATGACACTAAACCATTGATAAGATAGCTATATCCATTAACATTAACATACTGGATACAACAAGACTCAGGCATTCAGTCAATACAAGACACCAGTAGATACCAGTAGCCATTATTTCTCCTCTAAAGGCAACCTGTTACTGACTGTGTAAATAAATACACTCCTCCTTACTACACTGTTTACTTTAGAGAACAGTGTACATATACACTGTGAACATAATGTGAAGTGTAACTTAATGCATAAGTGTATAAACTGTAGCTACAAATACTACACTTATTGTGTTCCAGTAACTATTTTCATAAGGTGCTATATACTACACACATGTACCGATACACCCATCCTTTATAGTATACACTGGTACGACCATCTTATACTAATACACCCATTTTTTGGTAGTACACCCATCTTTTCTACTTACTGTGACTGGTTGGAAAAGTTTGCTTTTTGTAAATGTAATAGTGTAGCAACTAGGAGTGTCAAAATGCAAAATGCTACAATATTGAACTTTGAGAAAACAAGCATGCAATCTATTAATGCCCTGCAATAGAAGTGGGGGAGAGAGGGAGGGAAAGACAACTATACTGTTTATTGTGTGAAATGACCATATTTGGTCATAATAATGGTAAATTCTCTAACAATAATGTAGTAGAGAATCAATCTCACATGACATTGATAATGATCCATGAATATAATTCAGTGATAGTTTAGTTACACATACACCCATTTTTCCCAGTGCTTAAAGCTGCTCACCTCTATACCATTAGTGACTGGATAACCCAGTTTACAGGTATTTTGTATTTTATACATACTGACATAAAAATGCATTGTGAACATTACTTAATATGCCTTGCAATAGAGTGGTACTTTTCTATGTTAGATCTACATATTTCAGTCGAATACAGTTTTGTCAATTTAAGGACATGATATTATAAACTACATGCATGATTGTATCATATAGATCTAAGTGATAGCATTGCACCTGCATCTGATAATAATCACATGAATGTTATTACAACAAGTTCAAAGGAAGTTGGGGTTGACAACCCTCAACTTTCTTTGTGAATCCTTGGCTTTGTCGCTTTCCTTCTTTTTTCCTTCTTTATTGTGATGTAAGTGATCACTCAAATAGCTAAACCTTAAGTTACCTAATTCTCTCATTGTCCTCCATACTATAGCACAAGATGATTGATGTCTCTCAATGGAGAGCAAGTATTGGACTGTGGAACTACTGTCAAGCTGCCACCAGTAGACCAGCTAATGGCCGCCACTCTCACTCATTCAAAGCTGCAGTAGACAGCAAGTCAGGCAGTACTACATCAGGAGAGAAGATATCTAAACTGCCAGCAGCTCTTTCTCTTATTGTTTCTCTTCTTTTATCTTTATTAAGATATATGAAGCTCAATTTTATTCCTCCAACTGGTAAACAAACTAACAGTATATAATATTATCATACAGTGTATTTACAATAGGTATAATTACTGTTACTGTTATGATCCAATGCCTCCAGTCATTAGTCTTGTTTATAGCTACTATTGGCAGTAGCTCTGACCTGATCTACTATTTGGTTTTACTTCTCCTCCTCCTCTTATCAGGAGATGTTGAACTTAATCCTGGTCCTATGATTGATGATCAGCCTGATATTTTCCTATTACTTCAATGGCTTGAACCACTTGTTGACTGGAAACCATTCGGTCTTCTCTTACCTGGAATAACACGACATGAAATTTCAATAATAGAACAAGAGGATACTAAAAATCAAAAACTAGCTTTGTTTTTAAAATGGTTGAATACGGATCCTACAGCAACATGGAGAGATGTGCTTAATGCATTGACTAAAACAGAAGAGACCGATTTATTTAAAACTGTTAATGATCAGTTACAAGTACAACAATGTACAGGAGGTATGATCATGTATTTATATCATTAATAATTATATTTATTTTTGATAATAGGTACTGCTGATGCTCCTACTAGTACTGTACCAGTACCTACTGATGCTCCTACTACTAGTACTATACCAGTAATACTTACTGATGCTCCTACTAGTACTGTACCAGTAGTAGTATCCACTGTATCATCATCAGTTTCTGTAATTAATAAACCTGTTACTAGTGCTACATCAGGTAAACATTTTTTTGAAAGAAAGAATAAATAGCAAGTGTAGTATAATTAGCTAGAACATGAGTACTTGTATCCTGGTATCAGGTATATGGTACTGAAAATGATATTCATAGTCCCGAGGGCCAGGGGTAGAGTGTACAAAAAAATAATATTCATAATCTGAGGGATTATCATTTTTGCGCCCTCAGGACTGTGAAATCATTTTTAGTGGATACCTGATACTCCCCAAGAAGTCATGCTTGTGTCCAGGAAAGCCATAGGATGAAAGGCATCATTCTGTAGCCATATTATAGAAACAATTGATGCCAATCATGTCATAGTAAGAAAATTTTTAAACTGGCTGAAAACTTGACGGTGTGGAAGATGATGTATCATGTATGAGAGAAGATACAATCATACTCTGCATGCTACAGACTGCAAAAAACCTGACCGCATCATACAAAAGACTACTGGTGGCCATAGTTTAAAAGCACTTTGCACTTTGAAGGAAATGACGACACTCTCTTACCTAGGAACAAATGTGCATAAAGTGAAAATTTTCAACAGTGAACTATTATAAGAATTAAAAATTCATTTCATTCATTAAAAAATCATACGTTATGCTTCATTGCCTCAAAGATGCTAGTGTTGACAACTTTAATCTCAATTTACCAGGGCTGCTGATCATCAGAAACTTTCACATGGTACTCCTCTCTCTACTCACTCCTCTTGTTTATATTTTTACCGCCTCAGCGCCTTCCCAGGCTTTGGAATAAGCTCCCCTTTTTGACCTCTCTTTATCAACTGAGACCCTCAATATCAAATTAAAGAAATTTCTCTGGCTCCATTTACCAGAGTATTTTGACAGTAACAACCCTTGTTCATATTATTTTATGTGTACTTGTAATAAATGTATGTCTTGTCCTTCTTCTAGTAACTTAACTTATTTTTTAATGTTTTCAACTAATAGTACTATTATTGTTCCATGTCTAATACTGTTTATTTTGGCTTGTAGCTTCTCGGCTACTTGTCCTTTAGGTCCTCCTTCCAAATATTAATTTTTGTCCTTATCATATTTCTTTCCTGTAAAGTGTTCAATAATAATAATAATAATAATAATAATAATAATAATAATAATAATAATAATAATAATAATAATAATAATAATAATAATAATGCTGCATGTGTGATATCAGTAATATTCTACAAGTGATGCCTTTCATCTTATGACTTTCCAGGATACATACACTTAATACAACACTCATTAATTAATACACTACTGCAGGTAATCCAAAGGATATATTAAGGACTCATTCTGTTAAGCTCACTGATGCTATTGCTACCAACCTTTACAGAGTAACTGATGCACTGTATGCTAAAGGACTGATACCACTGGATACTAAAGAATACATACAAACAGTAACAGGAATATCTGATTATAGGAAATCAAGTCAATTATTGTCTATAATACAACAAAAGTTGGAATCCTCTCTTAATCCAGAGCAGTATCTTATTGATATATGTCATGTATTAATAAACCAACAACATCGTACACTAACATATATTGCTATCTCTATATTACACCAGTTAGGTGAGTGTGTACATTATCAGTGATCAATATAGTCATTATTATTATCTCAATATATTAGGTCAGTCTATACCTGATAATGTCTGTTTACATATTGTACATCTACTATCACCAGTTGAAGTAGGAGTTATATCAGGCAATAAACTTCGTCCACTAACAGGTAAAGGGATTAAAGTTTGTGCATCCCCAGGAATTATATATTATTTTTGTAAACTACCAGGTTTTGTGACTCCTGGGGCTATATTAAGAATGAATTACGCTACTCTTAGTGATGCTATTGCTAATAATGATAATCTTGACAAAGTATCAAATGGACTATATGCTAAAGGGCTAATACCACATGAAAATTATATCTTTGGGCCAATTGATTCCAATTATGCAAATGCTAATAAACTTGTAAATTTCATTGAACGACAGTTGGAATCCTCTCTTAATCCAGAGCAGTATCTTATTGATATATGCCATGTATTAATAAACCAACAACATCGTACACTAACAGATATTGCTACCTCTATATTACACCAGTTAGGTGAGTGAGTGTGTACATTATCAGTGATCAATAGAGTCATTATATCTCAATATATTAGGTCAGTCTACATCTGATAATGTCAGTCCACATACTGTACTACCATCAAAAGTTGATGTATCCAATACACCAGATGATACTAATATAAAAGGTCATGTTCTTTAATCTATTTGATAATTATAGTACTTTTTATACAGGTGCTAGCAATGTTGAAAGGGGCCAAAATTTTGAAAAAATGGAAGCTATATTTGCTACCTCTAAATTATACCAGTTAGGTGAGCGTGTGTACATTATCAGTGATCAATAGAGTCATTATATCTCAATATATTAGGTCAGTCTATACCTGATAATGTCATGTCCAGTAGTTCAATACCTGATGATGTTCAAGGATATGCTGACAATATGAGAGAACACTACAGACACCAACCTATTGTTGCTACAGACTGGCCACCAAGAATTGGAAAAGATTTCTTTGGAAGACTAGCACTAGTAGAAAAACAAGACTCCAGCACACAAGCAGAATCAGCTTGGCATCTGCTAAAAGGACAAGTTGATAAAACAGTTAAACTAACTGAAAACAAAGAGATAAGTGTTGAAGATGTCCTCCAACCCACAAATAGTTCTCTGCCTCTCAGAATAGTAATAGACGGTCCTCCTGGTATTGGCAAGACAACACTCTGTCGTAAACTGTTAAATATGTGGTCTAATGGAACACTTGTACACCAACAGTATGACTTGGTACTTTACTGTCCTTTAAGGAATAGCAAGATAGCTACAGCTACTACACTAGCTGACCTG